ACAGATCTTAAGTTCTGTCTAATGTGTATACTCAGTCCTCAAAATGCTTTTGACTCCACAAATATTATCCCAGTGAAATTTAAGATACACAACAAGCCAATGGACACCCTTAGGTTTCAGTTCAACAAGACTCATGTATTTAGTCCAAATGTTGTGAGACAATGACGTTCCCCTATTCAGTAGTTTTGTAGATAATAGAGCCTGGGGTTGAATGTCCCTTGAAGGCACACGAAACCCTTTTTCTTTCAAGAATTCTTCCACTAGGGCCATTAAAATCAACACCCATTGAGTAATATTACAGTTTTTGTTATGTGAATAAAAACATATCTTATTTCACAGGTAGCAATAGTATGAAAAAGGAGGGTGTAGTAAATGAACAAAAGAGTGTTTCATGAGCCATCAATTTCTGCAATGGTATTACAGAAATGAAACCTGCAAAAGTTCAGTCCATAGCAGGAATGACATTGACATCTATTACAAGGGTCCAGATCCTGTTACAGATTTGATGGGGCTAAGAAGACTACAACATTTATTCTGAGTATGAGTACCTACATTGAGTATTATAAAAAGGATTTGGTTTTTCTCCCTTTCTCTTCCAGACCTTTTGTTTTTTTGTGTTGAATCAACAAAGAAGAGATAGGAAGGCTTCAGACAATGTTCCACAATCATTCTTCTCATGGGTCAAAAAATTCAGGTAACAGTTCTTAGTACATGTAGGATGCATTCTGACATGGATATGTCTTTTAACGACTATGGAAACTCTTATGACTATGGCAGTGATTATAAAGTAAAAACACTTAATTGAAGTGGTGGCTGAGAGTGCAGAAATTCAGTCCATTATCATCATTGCGAGAAACTGGTGATATGCAAGCAGACAAGTTGCTGAAGACATCTTGATCACAAAGAAACAGGACATGGACTGAGGCAGTGGGCATGGTTTGCTCCTATAGGAGACATCAAAGCCATACAGTGACATACTTAACACACCTCTTAATATTGTCACTACCCATGAGCTTATGGGGACAACTCCATTCAGACTATCACACTTGGGGTAGCATTAATCTCCTCACAGACTTTAGACCCTAGGATTACCAGGTTATTCACAAAGGGCTTAGTGCTTCAGAGAGTTTATATTGAGTTGGCTCAGGTTTTCATTCCTCCAAGGGTCTATTGCCTGCATGGAATGCTCCACTGGGAAAGTAAGCACTACATACTGATAAATGACTCATCTTCAGTGCACACAGGATTGTATTTGACACAAAGCTTCACTGAGTGTGCCAATAATCCTTAAAGACAATGAAAAATCAACCCCTTTGGGTAAAGGTTATGTCCAAAAATTACCGAGGTCTACTATGGCACAGGATTCTTGTGTGGACCGTGCATTCTCATCTACTCACAACTTGTAACTTGTAAGTTTGTGATTGTGTTCCTGTTTTCAAGAGCTTAGTAAATATTATCTGGAGGTGCCAGAGTATGTCTGCTACAATATAACATGAACCATGCTATACTTCTGCTTTACATGTACAACATTCTCCCCCTCTCAGTCAAGGGAAAATCAAAATTCTCTTGTAAAGTTTGTGCCTGTAAATCTTGAAAGGTTCTCTGATGCACCAGTGACTTTTTTTCTTAACATTTATTTACTTATCATGTATATAGTGTTATGCCTTCAAGGTAGAAGAGGGCACCAGAGCACATTACAGTTGATTGTGAGCCACCATGTGGGTGCTGGGAGTTGAATCTCTGGAGGACCAGACAGTGCTCTTAACCTCTCAACCACTCTCTAGCTCCACCACCACCACCCACAAGCCAATAACCTCCCCAATCCACATGACTTCACACAGTTCTATACATCTATCCATTGGCTCCAACCATGCTGCCCTGATGGCTGCTTCTCCTCACACATGGCAGATCTTCTCTGGCCAATGAGATTCAGCAACTATCATCCCTATAACTGGAATGCACATTCTCCTTGTCTGCTGCTAGAGGGAAAGACTCACTACCTTCACCTTTTCATTTCCAACCTGAAGGCTCCAGGAGGCCATTCCAGGGAACTGGGATTCCCTGAAAAGAACATCCTCCCTGCATTTCATTTTCTCAAAACTAGCCTTGGCATGCCTTCTCTTATCACTTATCATTATGGACATGCTAAATACTGACTTAAGAAGTAAGTGGCCACTGCACATCCCTGCACTACAAAGAAAGCTCTGGGGAGCTAAAACTATGATGGTATCACAGGTTTTTGTGGCATTTGCTTTTGGGAGTTTCAGACATATTGCCTGAAGCATGAGTTGGAGAGTCGTAAGGCCTAGGTCATGCTTACTTGAGATTGCATTGTCCATACTAAGTTGCTTGCTCATCTGGACAGATGGCTTGGCCTCAGTTGGGATTTTCCCTTGTTACGTACAAGTCAGTTGCAGGATGGTCCCTCCCTCCACAATGCCTCCTTCACAGAAGAGTACCCAGGAAAGGTGAGCACACTGACTGCCCATTACCTAGGCCTTGCCCAAGGCAAAAACAATCAGACATACAGGGTGCCTGCCAGATCAGTGACAGGAATTCACTTTTTTTTTTTCAAATTTTATTTGTTTTTAAATTTATTTTATATAACAAAGTCCATTTAAATGAAAACAAACATTTATAGACAATATTTTGGAATGTGGGCATTGTTCTTTCCAAACTACTTCCTGCTGGTAAGGGGCGCTGTCACGGGGGATTCGAAGAAGCTTAAGAAATCCTGGCTGTAGTCTGTAAGGCTGCTTTGTCCAGCTATTTGAATGCAGGATACCTCATACTCTGTTGCAGGTTGTCTGGTTTGATCAAACCACATTAGTCTGTAAGGAATCCACATCTTTTCATTTTCTGTGGAAACAAAAGTAGAAATCCTTTTCCCAAGTAACTTGTACTTGAACTTAAATTTTGGAGTCAAAGCATCTTTTTTAATTTAATTTATTATTTTACAAGTCGATCACAGTTCCCTCTCCCTCCCTTCCTCCTTCCCTCCTTCCCACCCTCCCTCTTTCCCTCCCTTTTACCCTCTCTTCCCTCTCACATGCTCTCTAGCCACCCTCCCCTCCAATCCCCCCACCCCAATTCCATATGTAGGGGAATGCCATCCAGGTGGGGTCATGTAGATCTGACAATTCATGTGAAGTAGGGACTAGGGCTTCTCTCCTGTCTGTAGATTAAGGCAGTTATCCCTCCATGGGGGATATGTTCACAAAGTCCTTTTGTGCACCATGGATACATCCTGGCTCCACTGTCTGAGGTCCCTTAGACTGCTCAGTCCTTCTGGCTGAGCCCCATATTCAGGGGGGTGGGCAGAGTCAGTCCCATGCTGGCTTCCAGCTATCAGTCTAGTGGCAATTAGCTCCTCTTTCTTCAGGTAAGCTGTCTGTATGTGTTTATGCCTCTTGGTCTTGTCCTCTCCATCTGCATCTCGGTTCTAATTCGACTCAGTGTTTATGTATGGGTGTGTTTGATCCTGTTTCCAACAGGCATTAGTTGAGGGCTCCATGGAGAATTTAGTTGTTGATCTCACTCTCCGGGAAGGGCATTTATGATAGCCTTTCCATAAAAGCTCGAATTGTTAGATGGGAGCAGTCTTGTAGTTCTCTAGACCATTCTTTGTGTTCAATTTTATCTTCAATATTGGCTCCCTCTTTTATGTTCTCTCTCTCTCTCTCTCTCTCTCTCTCTCTCTCTCTCTCTCTCTCTCTCTCTTCCCTATCTTCTATTCCTAAACAGGCTCAATCTTCCTGATCACACATGTTTTCCTCTCCTCCCCCTCTCTTTCTCCTACTTCTGTCTCCATTCACTGCCCCCCACTTCCCCTGTGCTCTGGGGGACTTGTCCCTTCCCAGTTCTGTGAAGGGCTTTATATCAATCTCTTAGAATACACCTTGTACCCTAGTTCCTCTGGTGGTGTGAATTATAGGCTGGTGATCCTTTGATCTAGGTCTAAAATCCATATATGAGTGAGTACATACTGTGTTCCTCTTTTTGTGACTGGGTTACCTCATTCAGGATGGTTTCATCAAGTGCCATCCACTTGCCTGCAAATTTCAAGATACCATTATTTTTTTCTGCGTATTCCATTGTGTAGATGTGCCACATCTTCATTAACCATTCTTCAATTGAGGGACATCTAGGTTGCTTCCACGTTCTTGCTGTTACAAATAGTGCTGCTATGAACATAGTTGAACAGATGTCTTTGTTGCATGGATGTGAATTCTTTGGGTATATGCCTAAGAGGGGGATTGCCGGGTCCTGTGGTAAACTAATTCCATTTTTCCTGAGGAACCACCATACTGATCTCCAAAATGCCTGTATGAGTTTGCACTCCCATCAGCAGTGGAGGAGTGTTCCCCTTTCTCCACATCCTATCCAACATAATTCATCATTGGTGTTTCTAATTTTAGCCATTCTGACAGGGGTAAGATGGTATCTCAAAGTTGTTTTGATTTGCATTTCCCTGATAGCTAAGGATGTGGAGCATTTTCTTAAGTGTCTTTCAGCCTTTTTGATTTCCTCTATTGAGAATTCTTTCTTCAGTTCTACACCCCATTTTTTAATAGGAATATTTGGTGTTTTGTTGACTAGTTTTTGAGTTCTTTGTATATTTTGGAGATCAGCCCTTTGTCAGATATAGGATTGGTGAAAATCTTTTCCCAGTCTGTGGGCTGCCGTTTGGTCTTGTCCACTGTGTACTTTGCCTTAAAGAAGCTTCTAAGTTTGAAGAGGTCCCATTTATTAATAGTTTCTCTCACTGTCTGTGCCCCTGAACTTATGTTCAGGAAGCGGTCTTCTATAACAATTTGTTCAAGGGTACCTCCTAATTTCTCTTCTAAGAGGTTCCATGTGGCTGGATTGATGTTGAGGTCTTTGATCCATTTGGACTTGAGTTTTTTGTTTTTTTTTGGGTTTTTTTTTTGTTTTTGTTTTGTTTTTTTTTTTTTTTTCAGATTTATTGAAAATGACAGAGCAGGATCAAATGGCCCCACTGTAGGCTGAGTGACCTGCAGGTTGGAGAGACTGCCGAAATCCAGAAGCTTCAGCATTTCCTTGGTGTCAGGATCCACCTTAATGATTTCCTAGTCCAGGGCTGAGACCTCAGGAACATAGATATCTCTCCTCTCTCTCTCTTCCTCCTGCAACTTGATAGAGATGCCTCTCACAGGGCCTCTCTGAATCCTCTTCATGAGATGCATGACATAGCCGGCTATCTTGTTGCAGAGTTTCTTGCTGGGGATAATGGCGATCTCCTCGCACACATGCTTGTTGGTGTGGAAGTCATTGCCCAGGCGTGTGTAGTACTTCTCGATGATGACCCGGGCCGCCTTCTTCACATTCTTGGTGCGAACACGGCCCATGTTGACGGGTCCCAGTAAAAGAGGAAACAGTGGACTTGAGTTTTTTTGCATGGCGACAGACATGGGTTTATCTGCAGTCTTCTACACACCCTTATCAAATTCTGCAAGCACCATTTGTTGAAGATGCTGTCCTCACCCCATTGTATTCTTTTAGCTTTTTTGTCGAAAATCAGGTGTTCATAGGTGTGTGGGTTAATATCAGGATTTTCAATTCGATTCCTTTGATCTACCTGTCTATTTGTATGCAAATACCAGGCTGTTTTCAGAACTATAGCTCTGTAGTAGAGCTTAAAGTCAGGAATGGTGATGCCTCCTGAAGTTCTTTTAATGTATAGGGTTGTTTTGGCTATCCTGGGTCTTTTTTTTCCATATAAAGTTGATTATTATCCTTTCAAGGTCTGTCAAGAATTGTGGTGGGATTTTAATGGGGATTGCATTGAATCTGTAGATTGCTTTTGGTAAGATTGCCATTTTTACTATATTTATACTACCTATCCAAGAGCATGGGAGATCTTTACATTTTCTGGTATCTTCTTTAATTTCTTTCTTTAGAGCCATTTCTTTCTTTAGTTGTGTGGTAAGTGTTACCCCAAGATACGTTATGTTGATTATGGCTATGGTAAAGGGTGATGTTTCTCTGATTTCTTTCTCTGTCTATTTGTCATCTGAAAAAAGTAGGGCTACTGATTTTTTTGAGGTTATCTGTATCCTGCTAGTTTGCTGAAGGTGTTTATCAGCTGTAGGAGCTCCCTGGTACAGTTTATTGGGTCGCTTATGTAATCTATCATATCATCTGCAAATAGAGACAGTTTGACTTCTTCATTTCCAATTTGGATCCCTTTGATCTCCTTTTCTTGTGTTATAGCATTAGCTAGAACTTCTAGTGCGATATTGAAGAGATATGGAGATAGGGCAGCCTTGTCTTGTTCCTGATTTTAGAAGAATTGGCTTAAGGTTCTCTCCATTCAGTTTGATGTTGACAGTTGGTTTGCTGTATATTGTTCTTATTATGTTTAGGTATGTTCCTGTTATCCCTGACCTCTCCAATACCTTTATCATGAAAGGGTGTTGAATTTTGTCGAAGGCTTATTCAGCATCTAGGGAGATAATCACATGTTTTTTTCTTTTTCTGTTTGTTTATATGGTGCATCACGTTGATAGATTTTCATATGTTAAACCATCCCTGCATTCCAGGGATGAAGCCTACTTGTTCATGTTGGATGATTTCTCTGATGTATTCTTGAATTCGGTTTGCCAGTATTTTATTGAATATTTTGCATCGAAGTTCATCAGGGATATTGGTCTGCAGTTTTCTTTCTTAGTTGTGTCTTTGTGAGGCTTGGGTACCAAAGTAATTGTGGTCTCATAAAAAGAGTTTAGCAATGAACCTTCTGTTTCTATCTTGTGGAACAGTTTGAGGAGTAGTGGTATTAGTTCTTCCTTGAATGTCTGGTAGAATTCGGTGTTGAATCCATCTGGCCCTGAACTTTTTTTGGTTGGAAGGCTTTCGATGATTGCTTCTATTTCATTGCGGATTATAGGTCTATTTAAGTTGTTTGTCTGTTCTTGATTTAATTTTGGTAACTGATAGTTATCCAGAAATTTGTCCATTTTCTTTGAATTTTCAATTTTTTTGGAATACAGATTTTCAAAGTATGACCTCAAAATTGTCTGGTTTTCCTCTGTGTCTGTTGTTATGTACCCCTTTTCGTTTCTGATTTTGTTAATTTGCATGTTCTCTCTGTACTTTTTCGTTAATTTGGATAAAAGTTTGTCTATCTTGTTGATTTTCTCAAAAAAACCAATTCTTCGCTGCATTGATTTTTTTTTTTTTTTTGTATTGTTTTCCTGGTTTCTATTTTGTTGATTTCAGCCCTCAAGTTGATTATTTCCTGGCATCTACTCCTATGTGGTGAATTCGCTTCTCTCTGTTCTAAGGCTTTCAGTTGTGCTGTTAATTCTTTTATGTGACTATCATCTATTTTCTTCATATGGGCACTTAGTGCAATGAACTTCCCTCGTAGCACTGCTTTCACAGTGTCCCATAAGTTCGGGTATGTTGTATCCTCATTCTCGTTGAATATTAGAAAGTCCTTAATTTCTTTCTTTATTTCTTCTTTGACCCAGGAGTGGTGCAATTGCACATTGTTCAGTTTCCATGAGTTTACAGGTTTTCTGCTATTTGTGTTGTTGTTGAATTCCAATTTTAAAGCATAGTGGTCCGATAAGATACAGGGGACTATTCCTATTCTCTTGTATCTGTTGAGGTTTGTTATGTCATCTACTATGGGGTCAATTTTAGAGAAGGTTCCATGTGGAGCAGAGAAATAGGTATATTCTTTTGTCTTTGGATGGAATGTTCTATAGATGTCTGTTAGCCCCAGTTGAGACATAACTTCTGTTAATTCTTTTGTTTCTTTGTTGAGTTTCTGATTTGTGGTCCTGTCTAGTGGTGAGAGTGGTGTATTGAAGTCTCCCACTATAAGTGAGTGAAGTTTTATATGAGCTTTGAGTTTTAGTAGTGTTTCTTTTACAAATGTTGGTGCGTTTGTATTAGGGGCATAGATGTTCAGAACTGAGACTTTGTGTTGATGGATTTCTCCTGCGATGAAAATGAAATGACCGTCTTCATCTCTTTTGACTAATTTTGGTTTGAAATCTAACTTGTTAGATATTAGGATAGCTAAGCCTGTTTGCTTCTTATTTCCATTTGATTGGAAAATCTTTTCCCAACCCTTTACCCTGAGGTAATGTCTATCTTTGAAGTTTAGATGTGTTTCTTGTATGCAGCAGAAGGATGTATTCTGTCTTCTTATCCATTCTGTTAGCCTGTGTCTTTTTATCGGTGAGTTAAGTCCATAAATGTTGAGGGTGAGTAAGGACCATTGATTGTTGATGCTTGTTTGATTTAGGTTTGTTGTTTGCAGTTGTATTGTGAATATATTAGTTCTGTTTTACCCTTGGTTTCTGGTGTAGTTGGATTATCAGTTACCTACATTTATGTGGGTTGGAGTTTTCCTTCCAATACTTTCTGTAGCACTGGATTTGTAGATACATATTGGGAAAATCTGGTTTTTGTCATTAAATATCTTGTTCTCTCCATGTATAGTGATTGAGAGTTTTGCTGGTTATAGTATCCTAGGCTGGCATCCGTGTTCTCATAATACTTTTAGAACATCTATCCAGGACCTTCTGGCCTTGAGGGTTTCCATGGAGATGTCAGGTGTAATTTTGATAGGTCTGCCTTTATATGTTACCTGTCCTTTTTCTTTCTCTGCTCTTAATAATCTTTCTTTATTCTGTATGATAGTTGTTTTGATTATTATATGTCGAGGGGTCTTTTTTCTTTGGTCCAGCCTATTTGGTGTTCGGTATGCTTCTTGTAGTTTCATGGGCATGTCATTCTTCAGATTTGGAAAGTTTTCCTCGATGATTTTTTTTGAATATGTTTTCGGCACCTTTGAGCTGGGCTTCCTCACCTTCCTCTATGCCTATTATTCTTAGGTTTGGCCTTTTCATCGTGTCCCACATTTCCTGAATGTTTTGTTTTAAGGATTTGTTGGATTTATGATTTTCTTTGGTCGATGAATCCATTTCTTCTTGTTTATCTTCTGTGCCTGAGATTCTCTCTTCCATCTCTTGAATTCTGTTGGTTATGCTTGTGTATGTAGTTGCCAATTTTTTGCCCAGTTTTTCTATTTCCAGCATTCCTTCAGTTTGTGTTACCTTTATTTTCTCTATTTCAGTTTTCAAGTGTTGAACTGTTTCCTTCACCTGCTTAATTGTTTTTTTCTTGGCTTTCTGTACTTTCCTTTAGGAATTTGTTCATTTCTTCCACTTTTTTGCTTGTTTTTTCCTCCATTTCTTTAAGGGATTTTCTCACATCTTCTTTGAGGGCTTCTATCATTTTTATGATAGTAATTTTTAAGTTATTCTCTTCTGCTTCCTCTGCTTTTTTGTTGTGTTCCATTCTAGTTGGTGTACATTTCCTAGATTCTGGTGCTTTCATGCTTGTCTTTCTGTTGTTATGTATTTTATTGTATTGCCTTCTTCCCATAGCTTCTTCCAGTAGGGGTTGGTGGGATTTCCCCCTCTCTCTATGGTACTTCTCCGATGGGCTTATGTGGGTCTGAGATTCAATATCTGTAGCTCTGTGTAGTCCAAGCTCTCTAGGAGGTGTCTCCACAGACAGGGACCCAGGGATGGGGTCAAGGATGAGGATCGAGTAGAAGATGCCAGCAGGCAATCACAGTGGTCCCGCATAGATAGGCCGATCTCTGGGAGGGTCCTGGGACTCCAGTAGTGGACTGGAGGTGGAGTCAGAGACCAAGCAGGTGGAAATTATGGGTGGTCCTGTGTGGATAGTCATATCTACTTTATTCATTGTTGCTCTGAGAAGTCTCCAAAGTAGGGTGGACTCTTGGCTCCACCCTCTGTCCCAGTGCTCAACCAGAGTGGCAGGACCATGGATAGGGTAGGGCACACGTTAGGGGGGTATGCTCGCATTGGGGATGGGTGGGGGTGTATCATAGCTCCAAGAGTGCTCTCAGTGGGGACTGGAGACAGGAGCAGCAGGATCAGGGAGGGGCCAACCCAGGGAGTTCAGGCAGGGGAGGGGAGGGAAGAGGTTGTAGGGGACAGGCAGCCACGATTGCGCCCAGTCTCACCTCTGGCCAATAGCTGGCAGAAGAGGACATGGGCTGAGCTGGAACTTGGGAAGGTTTTGTAGGATAGTCAGATCTCACTGGAAACTGGAACTCTCCAGCTGAGGCCTCTTTCTTTAGCAGAGGCCCGGATTTGGGGGTCAAGGATCTTGCCCCAGGAACTCAGAGTGGACCTGCAGTGATAGGCAGATCTCTGGGAGGGGTCAGGGAATCCAGCAGAGGACTGGAGGCGGAGTCAGAGACCAAGCAGGTGGAAATTACGGGTGGCCCTGCTGTGGATAGTCAGGTCTCATTTGTTCAGAGTTGCTCCTAGAAGTCTCCGAAGTAGAGTGGACTGTTGGCTCCACCCTCTGTC